AGATAGTAACTTCAAAAATTCCAGGAACCAATACTCTGTTCTCTACTTTGTGCTAAATTATGGAAACAGATACTACCATTAAAAAGCCTCAGGCTCGCATGACTGTGACAGCCATCAGAGCCTTAACAATTCTTATTGGCTGACTGCCTCTTTTTATTACTAAGTTGTGCTTCTCTGAATTCAAATAACAAGTCCAGAAGCTCAGGTCTGGGTGCAATTTGGGGATTCAGAAGTAAAGTTTGGTCTGTCATGAAAACCCACAAATATGATCAGTCCACGGACCTTGGTTAGGAGTAAAGCTCAGACACCATGGACAATCAGGATTGTAGGTTATGGTGAAGGCACATCTTCTCTTGGTGAAAACTTTAAGAGGAAACCCAGTGCCCTTGGCCCGTAAGCTGCTGCGTCTAGGTTGGGTCTTGCTGCACACTGGGGAGGTGAGGAATTCAGCTCACGTGTTAGTGGCCTTGATCAGGATTTAGTGATGACTAGCCCGTCAGGATTTCGTATCTTCCTCTGTTTCCACACTGTCACCAAGGAGGTCATATAAGTTTGTGCAAGGCTGGGCACGGTGGTGCCTGTAATCCCAGCACTTTGGGAGGTGGAGACGAAAGGATTGCCTGAGCTCAGGGGTTCAAGACCAGCCTGAGCAACATGGCAAGAGCTCGTCTCTAAAATAAATTTTAAAAAACTAGCCAGGCGTAGTGGCGCATGCCTGTGGTACCAGCTACTTAGAAGGCTGAGGCAGAAGGATCAACTGAGCCCAGCAGGTGGAGGCGATGGTGGCTGTGAGCATGCCACTGCACTGCAACCTGAGTGACAAAGTGAGACTTCTACTAAAAAAAAAAGTTTGTGCAAAACATCAATACGTGAAAAGACTCAGAGGTTCATGGCAACAGCATGAACATCAGATGCCTCTGGCTTGGCACAACTATGTTATATAATCGTATAAACAGTTATGTGATGCAGTCCCTTCTGTTCACCATAGGCAGAAACTCCCAGAGTTTTAACTTTGCATTTCTAATCTTCATATTGTTACTCTGAAAGTCTTAATATGCTCTTTTTTTGAAAGTATGTTTTTGTACGTGTAGACACTATTTAATGAATACCTAACTGTTCAACACTATTAGATTCTGCGAGAATTAAAACTACAGTTATCAATGTGGGCTGAAGTTTCTGGGAAAAGGCTTTATTTATTTAAGTGATCTATAAGCTGGACCTTGAAGAAATTCTAAGGAATTAAACAGGTAAAAGGGTTCCAGTTGATGAAGAAGTAAAACCATCACATTTTCACTTTAGTCTTCCTAAAGATTCAAGCCTTATCTTGGTTGCCATACAATTTGGAAATGGAAGGAGGGGAAGAGGAACAAAGTGGAGAAATGGGGATGAGAGGGAAGACAGGAGGGAAGTAGAAAAGAATGGAAGGAGAAAGTGAGCCAAAAGGAGGCAGTTCTTAAGATTCATTTAATAACTTTTAAGCTGTTCCAGGCACTGGGCAGAATTTTACAGATGAGAAAGTAGGCTTAGGGAGGTTGTAAGAGGATACGAAATACTAAGACATATTATCAACCGGGCTCATAACATGGTCCCTGCCAGACAGACTCAGCTCTTTGGCTTAGCTCTGAGATCATTGGAATAACTGTTTTACAATTGGAATGATTCTATAGAGTTACATCAAGAGGTTAGTAGACAAAACTAGAAGAACTCATCTGTAGATTAGTCATTCTGGTTAATCTTTTTTTTTTTTTTTTGAGTTGGAGTCTCACTCTGTCACCCAGACTGGAGTGCAGTGGCCGCTCCCGGCCACTGCAGCCTCGACCTGCTGCTGGGGTCCGGCGATCCTTCTGCCTCAACCTTCCAAGTAGCTGGAACTACAGGCGCGTGCTACCACACCCTGCTCATTTTTTATTTATTGTAGAGATGAGGTCTCGCCAAGTTGCCCAGGCAGGTCTCGAACCCGCGGGCTCAGACAATCCACTCACCTCAGCCTCCCAAAGGCGCAGGATTATAGGCTGAGCCACCGAGCCCGGCTCATTCTGGTTAATATTAGGGATTTTTTTTGGTTGCTATGTTTGCTTTTCTTTATGGATGATTTTGACCAATTTCTGTTTTATTTATTCTTCCAGTAGTTACTTAGAACTAATTTCCTAGCTATGCAGGAGGCTGAGGAGAGAGAATCACTTGAGCTCAGGAGTTCCAGGCTGCATTGAGCTATGATTACACCACTGCATTCCAGCCTGGATGACCTAATGACATCTTGTCTCTAAGAAAAAATAAATATATAAAAGTTAAAAAACTGGGCACTGTGGTTCATGCCTGCAGTGTCAGCATTTTGGGAGGCTGATGTGGGAGGATCCCTTGAGGCCAGGAGTTCAATATCAGTCTGGGCAACATAGTAAGACCCTATCTCTATAAAAAGCTTAGAAATTAGTCAGGCATGGAGGTGCACACCTGTAGTCCTTACTACCCAAGAAGTAAAAGGATAGCTTGAGTCCAGAAGTTCAAGGTTACAGTGAACTATGATTGTACCACTGCACTCTAGCCTGGGCAACAGAGCAAGACCCTGTGTCTAAAAAAATCTTAAAAAACAACAAAAAAAGAACTATTTCCACCCAACTTACATGGCAAAAGTTAAAAGTAGTTGATGTTTAGAGAAATGTAGATCTCTGATTAAAGCCATGCATTTTTGTTATTAGTTGTATGTTTACATGTACTGTCAGGTAACCCTGATCACCTCTGGGAAGTTGCTCATACTTTGATTCTTTTCAAGCAACACTTTTCAAACACAAGTTACATCCTGACCAAAAACTTTCCAAGAATTCCCATGGCACTTAAAGTAATATTAGAATTTCATGATAGGGCCTCTGAGTTCCTGCATGGTTTATCCTTACCTTCCCCTCCAACCTCATCTTGTCACATGGTCAGCTTTCCCTAGGCAAGAGCCTCCAGAGTTTTCTTTAGTTCCTGGAATGTATCCAGGTCTCGAAGGTCTCAGGCCTTTGGCGTACACTTTTTGGTTTGTGGGGGTTTTTTTTGGCATTCCCCTTGACCCCGATTTTCCTGTGATGGAATTACTTATCCTTCAGCTATAAGATGAAAGCTTGCTTTCTTAGAGGATCTTTCTCAGAACATCCAATCTAATGGAGATCTCCCTCAGTCTTTTCTCCCAGTCTGTTACTCTTTTCTATCATTTTGCACAATTAAAAAAAATTTACACTTGTTTGTTTCCTTCTAACCACATCTCTCCCAATAGACTGAAAGCTCTATGAGGGCAGGGACTGTGTCCATTTATATCCCCACTAGTGCCTGGCTTGGTGCCTAGTACTGAATAAATGCTTTTCTTTTTTTTTTTGTTTTTTTTTTTTGGGTTGG